ATTCCATGGTGAATAACTGCTTCTCCGTGTTAGTGCATGTCATTGCGAGATGACATACCAAGTCTTGGCCCGTTCTTTGAGATAGTCTATGGGTACGAGAGGGAAAGTTGACCGGCACCGAAAGAGGGGGTAGGCCATGGTATGCTTCTTCTCATGTTTTTTACTTTACACTCTTTAAAGTTCTCTATCGGTGGCGTTCTAGGATGTTGACCGGCACCGAGAGAGGCGGTAGGCCACGGTCAACAACTGCTTCTTCTCATATTTTTTACTTTACACTCTTTAAAGTTCTCTCTCGGTGCCAGTCTAGGAAGTTGACCGGCACCGAGAGAGGGGGTAGGCCACGGTGAACAACTGCTTCTTCTCATGTTTTTTTTACTTTACACTCTTTAAAGTTGAGTTTTCAACAATTATAACCCAAAAAGCATATTATATATATATATATATATATATATATGAGTGCATCAAAAGTTTTTTATCGAAAAAATTCATCAAAAGTCATGGAATTTTCAAACTTTGGTCGTAAAAACATATGAAATATGAGATACAAAAAAGTAGTGCCAAACAAAAAAACAAAGAGAAGGAAAAAAATTAGAGCAGTGGTCACCGAGGGTCGATTATCGGCTCTCAGTAATGGCCACTTTTTCCGAGAGACCCTCTCGGTAAAGCATCTAACCTAGATCTTAACTGTTCCCCTTTCTTTCTATCTTCATTCTTCTCCTTCTCTGTTCCCTGCGCCACCGCCGCCGCCGACGCCGAAATTGCCACCGCCACCAACTGCCGCCCTAAACCGCCACCAACTGTCGCCGCCAGCCCTCCTCCACCGCTCCCAACTGCGGCCACCGCCACCCCCTCCTCCACCGCCCCCAACTGCGGCCACTGCCCCCAAGCTTCATGGTCGGCGGCCGGAGCGGCGGTTCTTCGATGCGGCCTAAGGACGGCCACTGCAGCGGAACTCCTCCGGTAGCGCGGTAGCTGGAGATGCCCTCAGGTTAGTAGAAAACCGGCTCAGCCCGACCGGTCAGGTTCAAGGCAACATCACCGGAGAAGATGATCTCTGCTGCTTGAAGTCTCCGGTCAAATCTGAGAATAGATAAAATAGCACTCTGTAATAGGAACCGAATTTTAGTTCCCATTTTTGCTCCTGCTTTTTGAGAAAAATTTGGGGAGTAGCATGTTGTATGGTGTCCAGCTGTTTTTTTTTCTGCTGTGTGTAGTGTCGTAACTAGAACCTATGTTTTTCCATATATATTGGGGAGTAGCATGTTGTGTAGTGTCCAACAAAATTTGAAGAACAAACACTGTCTGATGCCTATTGTAGTGGTATGGTTAATATTCACCATATATATTTTGTTTTTCAGATTCTGATGGTAGCACTAGTAAGTACCGGAGAGTCCCTAGTGGTAGGACGAGTCGTCCGCCTCCCATCAGGCCACTCCCGAGGATGAGTCGTCATCGGATGGCGATGTCAGAGTGGACTTAGATGAACCAGATCTGCTCACTACCGAGTCGGGCGACATGGAGACCTCGGACAGCTCAGGGTCTACCTCGAGAAACACTTCCAAGAGGAAGAAATCTGGGCGTGGTCCGGGGAAGGTCTCGGAACCAACTGCTGCCAGCAACCGTCCTGTCATTTGCCCGACAGGAGAGGGGTAAGCAAGCATTTCATTTGCATCATATTTGGATGCCACAACTTTGACACTCACATATGCTTGTCTTTTATATCATGAAGTCAGTGGACATTTATCCCGACACAACCTAAGGGGGCATGCCCGCCGAACCATGTCATCGGCTCCCTCTTGAGGAAGCACTTCCCTGGATTGTCCAAGCCGGGTGACGATGATCCGCCGTCGCCAGGTTTAACCTGGGAGCATTACCTACGCAACAAGGACGAGCACAATGTCACCATGGCCACCCAGGTCATCAATGCTTTTTTTTGCAAGTATCTTCGCTCCGACCACTGCAGTCTTTCATATCCAAATCCTTGCTTGCGTGGATGGTGAGAAGATGCCATATGCTTTCTTGTAGGAAACATTTGCTTGTGTGGATGGTGAGTAGCAGAAGGCGAGGAAAGGCATCGTGAAATCTGCCCAAAAGATACTCTCTGACACCAAGCACACGCTGCGGTGCAAAGCCGTGATGTAGTGTCTGTCACTTGATGACAAGGAAGACTGCTTGCCAGACCAACTTGACACGAGAAGAATACGTGTCAGTGGTAAGTGACTACATCGGTTGCTAGTACTTTGATTCATCCCTCTTGTTCCTCAATTATTCGATTTTGTCTGACTAGGTGAAGGAAACCTGGATGAAGGACG